TGAAATTAAGCCCTCTGGTGTTCAATTCTCCTACAAGAAGAAACAACCTCTCTGTTCCTATCCTGTCAAGTCCCTTAACAATCTTATGTGTTTCAATAAGGTCACCTCTCATTTTCCTAAACTCCATGAGTGCAAGTCCAATATACTCAACCTCTCCTAATCAGAAAACCCATGCATACCCGGTATCAACCTAGTGATCTTTCTTTGGACTGCCTCCAATGCCAGTATGTTTTTCCTTAAGGAGACCAGAATGCTTCACAGTATTACAGCTGTGGTCTGACCAGTGCTTAGCATAGTTTTAGCAAGACCTGCCTATTTTATGCTCTCGTCCCTTTGGAATAAAGGCCAGCTTTCTAATTGCCTTCCTTATTAATTGAACTTGATGCTAGCTTTTCGTGATTCATGTACTAGGGCCCAAAAGTCCCTCTGTGCTGCAGCCTTCTGCAGTCTTTTCCTAATTTCAATAATACTCAGTTCCTCTCATCTTCCTGTTAAAGTGCGTAACCTCACACTTTCCCACACTATATTCCAGCTGCCAAGTTTATGAACACTCACTTAACCTTTCGATATCCCACTGTAGACCCCTTGTGTCATCTTCACTATGTGACCTCCTGCCTACTTTTGTCATCAATAAACTTAACTACAGTATTTCTGACATTCTAATCATTATTACCTTGTGAACAACTGTGGCTCAAACAGTGATCCCAATGGCATGGTGCTGAGGAAGGGTCACCAGACCAGAAACATTAACTGCTTTTTCCTTCACAGATGCTGCCAGACCTGCTTAGCTTTTCCAGCAACTTTGTCTTTGTCCCTATGGCACTCCACTAGTTAGACGTCATTATCCTGAAAATGCTCCCATTTTGATTAGTAAGCTCTGTAATTGGCAGGCACATGAAAATGAAGTGTTAACTCAATGTGATGCTCAAAAATTCTGATCCCAGTACTATTGATTGCCATACATCTATGTATTAAAGTAATGAGTTGTTGAAGATTCTAGGCTGACCTCTCCACAGGGGAAAATTGGATTAAATATGAGAAGGACTAGGGCTGATATCCTACGGGGAGTGTTTGCTAGAGTGGTTGGGGAGGGTTTAAAATAATACGCCAGGGCGGGTGGGAACCTATGTAAAAAGTCATATAAGGAGGCAGCAAGGACAAAAACAAAAGCTAGAAAGGGGAATCAGAAAAGTGATTGGTTTCTCAACCTATGACAAGAATCTAAAAGGGCTATTGAGAAAAATAAGGAGGAGACAAACACTGTTAAATGGACAGGCTTAAAGGCATTGTTCCTGAATGCGCGGAACATCTGCAATAAAGTGGAGGAACTAATCGCTCAGATAGATGTAAACGGATACAATATAATTGGGATTATAGAGACATCGCTGCAGGTTGACCAGGGATGGGAACTGAACGTCCCAGAGTATTCAGTATTATGGAAGGACAGACAAAAAGGAAAAAGTGGCAGAGCAGCATTACTGGTTAAAGAGGAAATTAACACAATAGTCAGAAAGGATATTAGCTCTGACAATGTGGAGTCTGCATGGGTAGACTTGAGAAATACCAAGGGGCAAAAACCATTAGCAGGTGTCATATACAGACCTCCAAAGCGCAATGGTGATGTCGAGAAATTAAACAGGAAATTAGAGATGCATGTAATAAGGGAATATCAGTAATCATGGGTGATTTTAATCTGCACATAGACTGGGCAAGTCAAATTAGCCACAATGCCATAGAGAAGGAATTCCTGGAGTGTATACGGGACGGTTTTCTTGACCAATATGTGAAGGAGCTAACAAGACAGCAGGCCATCTTAGACTGAGTGCTGTGTAATGAGAAGGGAATCACTGCCAATCTAGCTGTGCAAGATCACTTGGGGAAGAGCCACCATAACATGATAGAACTTTTTTTTTTATCAAGATGGAGAGGGAGGTTGTTGATTTGGAGAAGAAGGTGCTAAACCTTAATAAAGGAAACTATGAGGATATGAGGTGTGATTGGCCTTAATAGATTGGGAAGAGTTACTTAAAGGGATGGCAGTGGATAGGCAATGGCAAACACTCAAGGAACACTTGGGGGAACTGCAACAACTGTTTATTCCTGTCTGTCGCAAAAGCAAAATGGCTAAGAGGGCCAATCCATGGCTTACAAAGAAAATAAGAGACAGTATCTGATCCAAGGAAGATGCATACAGATTGGCCAAGAAAAATAATAAATCTGAGGAATGGGAGCAGTTTAGAATTCAGAAAAGAAGGACCAAGGGATTGATTAAGAAGGAGAAAATAATGTACGAAAGTAAGCTTGCAGAGAACATAACGACTGGCACTAAGAGTTTCCACAGGTACGTTAAGAGAAAGAGATTGATGAAAACAAATGCAGGTCCCCTACAGACAGAAACAGGGGGAATGTATAACAGGGGACAAAGAAGTGGCTGAGGAACGGAGTACATACTTTGGTTCTGTTTTCACAAAAGAGGACACAAATCAAATACCAGAATTGTTGCAGGATGCAAGGTTTATTGACAGGGAAGAACTGAGGGAGATCAATATTAGTCGAGAAATGTTGCTCGGAAAATTGTTGGGATCGAAAGTCGATAAATCCCAGGGCCTGATAATCTACATCCCAGAGTACTTAAGGAAATTGCTCTAAAGATAGTGGATGCATTGGTGGTCATCTTCCAGAATTCTATAAACTCTGGAACAGTGCCTGCAGATTGGAGGGTGGCTAATGTCACTCCAATATTCAAAAAGGGAGGTAGAGAGAAAACAGGGAATTATAGAACAGTGAGCCGAACATCGGTAGTAGGGAAAATTCTCAAATCCACTGTCGAGGATTTTATAGCAGAGCATGTAGAAAGCAGTGGCAGTATCAGACAGAGTCAGCATGGATTTATGAAGGGGAAAACATGCTTGACAAATCTATTGGAATTCTATGAAGACATAACAGAGTTGACAAGGGGAAGCCAGTTGATGTAGTATATTTGGACATTCAGAAAGCATTTGAAAGTCCCACATAAGAGATTAACGTGCAAGATTAAAGTGCATGGGATTGGGGAAGTATATTGAGATGGATAGGAAACTGGTTGGCAGACAGGGAACAAAGAGTAGGAAATAATGGGTCCTTTTCAAATTAGCAGGCGGTGACTACTGGGGTGCCACAGGAATCAGTGCTGGGACCCCAGCTATTTACAATATATATTAATGATTTAGACAAAGGAACAAAATGTAACATCTCCACTTTTTTAGATGATACCAAGTTGGGTGGGAGGGTGAACTGTGACGAGTTTTTTCAGCATGATCTCAACAGGTTGGGTGAGTGGGTAAATCAATGGCAGGTGCAGTATAACTTGGATAAATGTGAGGTTATTCACTTCGGAAGCAAAAACAGGAAGGCAGATTACTACCTGAATGGCTGTAAATTGGGAGAGGGGAATGTGCAGCTGGACCTGGGTGCCCTTGTGTACCAGTCGCTGAAGGTAAGCATGCAGATACAACAGGCGGAAAAGGAGGCAAATGGTATGTTGGCCTTCACTGCGAGAGATTTCAAGTACAGGAGCAGGGATATGTTGCTGCAGTTGTACAGGGTCTTGGTGAGACCACACCTGGAATATCGTGTGCAGTTTTGGTCTCCTTTTCTGAAGAATGATGCTCTTGCTCTCGAGGGAATGCAGCAAACGTTTACCAGGTCGATTCCAGGGATGGCGGGTCTGTTGTAAGGGGAGAAATTGGCTAGGTTGGGATTGTTTTTGCTGGAGTTCACATGAATGAGGGGGGATCTCAGAGACTTAGAAAAATTCTAATAAGGCTGGGCAGAGTAGATGCAGGGAGGATGTGTCCAGAACTCAGGGTCACAGTATGAGGATTCAGGGTAGACGATTTAAGACAGAGATGAGGAGACATTTCTTCACCCAGAGAGTGGTAAGCTTGTGGAATTCATTACCACAGGAAGTAGTTGATGCCAAAACATTGAATGTATTCATTGGGTGACTAGATATAGGACTTGGGGCGAATGATATCAAAGGTTATGCGGAGAAAGCAGGATTAGGCTATTGAGTTGGGACGATCAGCCATGATCGTGAAGAACAGTCTCCTCCTGCTCCTATCTGCTATGTTTCTATGTTAACAGACACGTGAGAACAGAGGGATGACATGTACAGGTAGATGGGAACATTTAGAATGGCATCATGGTTGCCACAGACATGGTAGGCCAAAGGGCCTGTTCACGTGCTGTTCTGTGTTCTTCACTCTATCCTCATGAGTGAAATTTCTTTTGCCCAGAGCTATTCTTGTACATTGCCTCTACATTCTCTCCAATGCATTCAATTGCGGCAACGAATACACAATACTCCAGATGATGAGTAACAAGCCTCCTATACAAATTCTAGAGGGCATAGGTTTAAGGAGAGGGGAGAAGATTTAAAAGGGACCTAAGGGGCAACTTTTTCATGCAGAGGGTGGTACGTGTATGGAACGAACTGCCAGAGGAAGTGGTGGAGGCTGGTATAATTACAATATTTAAAAGGCATCTGGATGGGTATATAAATAGGAAGACTTTACAGGGATATGGGCCAAATGCTGGCAAATGGTACTAGATTAATTTAGGACAGACAAGTTGGACCAAAGGGTCTGTTTCCATACTGTACAGCTCTATGACTCTAAATTCAACTTTGCCCTTTTAATTTATAATGCAATTAAAAGCCAAACATGCCGCATGCTTTAGTGATTGCTCTCTCAACCTGTCCTGCTACTTCAATCATTTGTGCACATACACGCCCAGGTCCCTCGACCTCTTTTTTAATACTAAATTACCAACATTTCCTGCCATGTCTCTTCAGACCCGGGTGTATATTTCAGGCACTGCTGGAAGAATTTTTATTAATTTACTTGGAAAAGACAATTTTAAACTCAAATTAATTTTTGTGTTCATCTTAACTTTCAATCGACAACAGCCTCCAAAACTTTATTCTTGTGAGTCTGAATAAAATGTCGCACCAAACTTACTGTTTACTATAGTTGGTATACAAGCAGTCTTTGTTGCCAGTCTTTCTGTACTAGTTACAAACATTGCTACTTCCGATGTCCTTTGCTTATGTGGAGCAAGTGTCTGAAATTAAAAAAAGACATAAGTTAATTTTAATCAATTCATGCTTTAAGTGTCACAAAGCTTATCTGTTTTGGATATTAGGATTACAGATAGAGAAATGCTTGGTAATGACAGCTTGAGTAATGAGACACCAAAATAATGTCCTGATGCAGGTGTTGTATACTTCATCAACAAAGGATGATAAAGAAAATTGGAGGAACTTCAGTAACTAGCTTTCTAACAGCAGAGGCAGTAGCAAGCCTTTAAATCAAAGGAGTCATTTCAACAGAGGAATTAATTCCTTTCCACTGGGTGAGTTGACCATCTCAATTGACAAATAGTCCCATTCATGTAAACATCAGCAACTAAGGTCAGAGGTTTGCGAGAAGATTTGTAGCTTGGGTTGTGGATGAGGTTGTAGACATGCTCACGGAGCCGGTGGGTTTGGTTGCAAACGTGTTGTCACCCTGCTAGGTAACATCGTCAGTGCGCCTCTGGTGAAGTATCAGTGTTCTGTCCCGCTTGTTATTTATATGCCTCGGTTTGTTGGGATGGTTGGTATTATTTCCGGTTTTGTTTCTCAGTGATTTGTACACAGGGTCTAATTCAACATGTCTGTTGATGGAGTTCCAGTTGGAATACGAGGCCTCCAGGAATGCCCTGGAGTGTCTCTGTTTGATTATCCATGTGTTGTCCCAGTCAAATTCATGTCCCTCGTTACCCGTGTGTAGTGAGACAAGTGAGAATTGGTCATGTCTCTTGGTGACTCTCAGGGCATGGCACAGAGATTTCCCTACCCCCAGCTTCTGTCCTCTTTCTTCTGTAGGTGACTTCTATAATCATATTCCTTGCAGGCCGAGGGTGGAAAGGTTACCTCTTCCTTTTATCTCCCAAAAGGATGCACCAAGACCTACTGGGAGATTTTGTAACTGACTAGAAACAGGCCAAAATATTTGCTGGGACTTTGTCAAGAAATTTTGCCACTGCATTGCAATCACCTTTCCTGCAAACTGGTGCCTATTCCAAGATACATCCACAGAACACAGGAACTCATTGCAACAACTGACACTGCCTAAATTAAAGGTTCTGGTGTCACGTCAAGCAGTTGGACATCGATGGAATTCCAGCACACACTGGCAATGATCTGCGAACACCTATGTCCTCAAAAAATGCCACGTGGGATGCAAATGAAGTAGCAATAATGCAAGGCCTCAAAATAGGTGTGTCACTCTTCATGGCGCAAGGCAAATGAACTTCCTGTACTTAGTCTATTTCTTCAATGGTTATTCATCAATTGGTGGCTCAATTTTCTCTTCAAAGCTGTGGCTGCACCAAAATTGGACTTTACAAAGAAGCAGTGTTGCACAAAACTTACCAATCGCATAATGATCACAGAAAATATGGAAGTCTTACCTTTGGTGGAGATATTGAGGCCTGCTGAGGGTTAGTTCCTGTACCTGGTACGAAAACTGTCTTGGTGTGAGACACTTTTCCATTTTTTGGTCCTTTATTGTCTGGTGATGAGAATTGACTTTCAGCAACCAAGACCTGTCATTTTCAGAAAGTAACAGAAATCAATGACTCTCCATTATTTTAATTTACATTCGATTAATTCAATAATGTCATTTTACTTCAGCATATTTGCACACAAATATTTTATCAGTTGTAACATTTGCCTCACACAAAATTAAAGAGAAAACAAAACCATGTTTTCATATGAACACATTTAACAACCAGAAGTGACAAAATCTTATAACAGTAACTATTTTGACACATTGCTACTGATAGAATTGGCAGCCAATGTTCACATGGAGAAAATACCCACTAACAGCAATGACAAAATGGTAAGAGGGGACCTTTTAAAACTACCTGCATGGACTTTGCTAAAGCATTTGACAAGGTCTCTCATGGGAGGCTATAAGGTGGTAAGTTGAATTCAAAACTGGCTTGGTCATAGAAAACAGTGAGTAGAAGATCACAGAATCCCTACAATGTGGAAACAGGCCCTTCAGCCCAACAAGTCCACACCGACCCTCAGCGCATTCCACCCAGAGCCATTCCCTTATAATCCACCTAATCTACACATCCCTGAACACTATGGGCAATTTAACAAGGCCAATCCACCTAGCCTGCAGATCTTTGGACAGTGGGAGGAAACTGGAGCACCCAGAGGAAACCCACACAGACACGGGGAGAATGTGCAAACTCCACACAGGCAGTCACCCGAGGGTGGAATTGAACCCAGGTCCTTGGTACTGTGAGGCAGCAGTGCCAACCTCTGAGCTACCATACCGCCCCCAGTTGCATAGGGGTGTTTTATTAATGACTGGAGGTCTGTGACCAGTACTATTCTGCAACGATCAGTACTGAGACCTCTGTTGTTTGTAATTTATGTGAATGATTTGGATGAAAATGGTGGACGAGTAAATTTGCAGACGACACAAAATTGGTGGAGTTGTGAATAGGAGGAAGGTTATCAAAGGATACAGCAGGAAATCGACCAATTGGAAAGTTGGGTGGAGAAATGGAGTTTAAGAGTGAGGCAATACATTATGGGAGGTCTAATGCAAGAGGAAAGTAAATGGCTAGACTCTTAGGCACACTGACATACAGACGGACCTAGGGGTGCAAATCCATAGCTACCTGTAATTGACCACACAAGTGGATAAGGCAGTAAAGAAGACATACGGCATGGTGTCTTTATCAGGTGGGGCACTGGGTATAAAAGTTGGCTAGTCATGTTGCAACTGTTTAAAACTTTAGTTAAGCCATAGTTGGAGTATTGTGTATAGTTCTGGTTGCCACACTGCAGGAAGGCTGTGGAGGCTTTGGAGAGGGTGCAAAAGAAGTTTACCAGGATGTTGCACAGATTGGAGTGTATTAGCTATAAGGAAGGTCTGGACAAACTTGGGAGTATTTTATCTAGATCATTGGAGGCTGAGGGGCAACCTGGTAGAAGCATATAAAATGTTGAGAGGAATGGACAGGGTAGATAGTCGGAGTCTTTTTTCCAGGGTGAAAATGTCAAATACGAGGGGGCGTAGGCTTAATATGAGAGGGAAAATGTTTAAAGGAGGTATGCGAGGCATTTTTTCTCCCCCCCTCCAACCCAAGGGTGGCAGGTGCCTGGATCCGGCTGCCATGGGAACAGCACTGTCTCAGTAATGCACTGGACTGTCAGACTCAATTTTCAAATACCACAAAGAGAGATAAATTTGGAAATATTTGGTGGAAAGAATACATGTGTCAGAACTTCGTCATGGAAGGAATAAAAAGAGGAAATAAAGTTTAGACTTAAGTTAACTTCTTTCATTTAAAATGGAGTCGATCAGGCATACAAAAGTGCTTAATTAACAGTGGTAAAGCCAGGAATTTGAAGCAATAAGGAGCAGGAAAAGAGGTGTTTTCTTCACATTTTCTGAATTAGTTCCAAAAAACTCATTTTTTTTCTTTAGTTTCAAAGCTAGGAATCATTAACTTGCTATTACTTCACAAAAGTATTAAATCAAAGTAGATAAGACTTCAGAGAACTAAATAAAAGACAAAGTAACTATAACATGAGATTATTAATGTACACAGTTATAGTGTAAAGGCAGATTGGGAGGAAGGCATTCTCAAATGTTTTCAGAAGAATTTTCTTGATCAGTATGCTTCCTACCCAATAAGAAAGGAAGTGCTGCTGGATCTAGACTTAGTCATAGAGATCTAGAGCACAGAGAAAGGCCCTTTGATCCATCACATCCGTGCCTGTCAAAAACAACCACCTAACTATTCTAATCCCATTTTCCAGGACTCAGCCCATAGCCCTGTATGCCTTGACATTACAAGTGCAGATCTAAATATTCATCATCATCATCATCGTTACAGAATCTTTACAGTGTGGAAACAGGTGCTTCGACCCTTGGAGCATCTCACCCAGACCCATCCCCCTATAACCCACCTAATCTACACATCCCTGAACACTATGGGCAATTTGGCATGGCCAATCCACCTAACCCGCACATCTTTGGACTGTGGGAGGAAACCCATGCAGACACGGGGAGAATGTGCAATCTCCACACAGACAGTCACCCGAGGGTGGAATCGAATTCGGGTGCCTGGCGCTGTGAGGCAGCAGTGCTAACCACTGAGCCACCGTGTTGCCCTTTAATCTTCAAATTTCCTTTCATTAAATGTTTTGAAGGTTCCTGCCTCTCCCACCCTTACAGGCAGTGAGTTCCAGATTTCCACCACCCAGTAGGTAAAAAAGATTTTCCTCATATCTCCTGGAAATCTTCTGCCCATTACCTTAAAGCTACACACCCGGTCACTGATCTCTCATGAAGGGGAAAGGTTTCTTCTTGTCTACCTTATCTATGCCCCTCATAATTTTATATAACTCTATGGGAATTTTGGGAATGATCTGGGTCAAATAGATCAAAAGTGTCAGTCGGTGATCTTTCGAAATGAGTATCACGAGGAGTAGGTTAACTATGGAAAAGGAACAGTAGCAAATGAAGTAAGAACTAGAGGCAGGCCAGCAGCAGAACTCAAGGCAGGGAGTCAGCAGCAGCGAGAGGAGTGATATTTTGATTCCTCGCTGATCAGGAAAAGGGGGGTGTGATTGTGACTGAGGCAGAAAATGGGACCCAAACGGCAGGAGCCTCAGTTTTTGTAATTATTCAATAAGTATGAGGTTCTTTCAGATTGGCGAGACGAGAAAGACGCTGCAGAGTGGATGAGCCAACTGACCACGGCAAAGGAAACCACTGAAGATGGAGGAATAAAAGGACTGAGATAGATAGGTTCTTGATTATCAAGGAGAACAAGGGTTATGGGGAGAAAGCGGGAGAATAGGGTTGAGGAACTTATCAGCCATGATTGAATGGCGGAGCAGACTCGGTGAGCCAAATGGCCTAATTTCTGCTCCTATGTCTTATGGTCTTATGGAACATAGAGGTAGCAGAAGACCATGGCATATTAGGTAGAAGGCTTAGAAGAAATATGACGAAACTCTGGAAATCACTGCCCGTAAGGTTGGTAGAGTATTTAGATATGCACTTGTAATGCCAAAGTATACAAGGCTATGGACCAAGTACTGCAAACTGGGATTAGAATGGTCACATGGTTGTTCATGACCAGTGCAGACACAATGGGTCAAAGGGCCTTTTTCTGTGTGGTAAATCTTTACGACATAATGAGGCAGTACAGTGAGAGAGACTGACATTGTTCTCCTCAGTAAGAACCAAGAATCTAGAAGACTGTTGTCTGCTCAGTGCCAGGATTTGAGACATATGCTCAGGGCTGGGGAGTAACTTAAAGTGATAGTACAAAAATGCAATCATAGTCAGAGAGAGTCAGAGTCATACAGCGTAGAAACAAGCTATTCAGTCCACCATGTCTATGTCGATCAACAAACACCGAACTATTTACCTGCACTTGGTTCAGAGTCTACCATGCCCTGGCATTTTAAGTAATTATCCAGATGGTTCTTAAATGTTGTGAGGGTACCTGCCTCCACCACCATCTCAGGCAGCATATTCCATATGTCTACCATCCCCTGCATGAAAGAATTTTTTTCTTGACCTCTGCTAAACCACTTCTCTCCTTAAACTCATACCCTCTGGTCTTAGACACATCTCCCATAGGGAAACAATTCTCACAATCTAACCTGTTTATACTTCTCATGATATTGTATACTTCTATCAGATACCCCCTCAGCCTCGTCTGCTCCAAGGAAAGCAAACCCAACCTATCCAATTTCTCCTCATAACTGAGACTTTTCATCCCAAGCAACATTGTGGTGAAACACCTATACAGCCTCTCCAGTGCAGTCACATCCTTCCAATAGTGTGGCTACCAGAAATGCATACAGTATTTCACGTGTGGCTTCCAATGCTCTATGAAGTTACAACAAGACTTCCTTGCTCCTACATTCAACATCCCAGCTAATGAAGACTAGCATCCTGTATGCCTTCTTCACCACCCTGCCTACCTTGCTGTCATCTTCAGAGATTATGATCTTGTACACCAAGATCCCTTTGTTCTTCATTATACCCTAGAGACATATCATGCATTGTGTATATGCTTCCCTTAATAGATCTCCCAAAATGCATCGCATCGCATATATCAGGGTCAAATTCCTTCGGTCAATTCTCTGCCCACTTTGCCAGTTGAATAATTACAGACAGTAGCCCGAGACCGTCCTGCTCAATATCACCAATTTTCATGTCACCTGCAAACTTACTCATTATACCTTCTACATTCACACCCATATCATTAATGTACATTGCAGACAGCAAGGATCCCCAAGCACCAATACTTGTGGTACACCACTGGTCACAGGTTTCCAATCACAAAAATAACTGTCCACCATCACCCTTTGTCAATTTTGGATCCAGTGTGCCAACTTGCCTCAGATCAAATGGGCTATTATCTTTCGGACCAGCCTTCCATGTGGACCATGTCAAAGGCCTTACTAAAGTCCATCTAAACAACTGCACTACCCTCAACAATATATTTAGCCACCTGTTTTCAGGGCCTTTGCTGTACCCAGTGCCTTCAGTTGT